ATGTCATAGGAAACTGATTATGAGCTAAGAAAGCCACTAGAGGCTGGAGTCTGCCACCCTGTGTGTGTGTGTGTGTGTGTGTGTGTGTGTGTGTGTGTGTGTGTGTGTGTGTGTGATTCACCTCTGAAGTTCCAGTTTTCAGCCTACTATCCTTACTTCAGCAGATGTGAGTTTTCTCTTATAAACAAATAAGAACAAATACTCAAGCTTGCGAAATGCCGCTAAGGACTGTGTGTGGCTCATTCATCTACCAGCCATTCACCTATCTGACATTTCTGGTGCTATCTGGCTGCCAGGGCTGTGACCTGGCTAGAATGCCCTGTAAAGGGCTCTACCTGTCATAGATGTTTATGTTCTCACATCAGCAGTTTTTGCTGCCTCCCTGGGTGGAGAGGAAGTTGTCAGCCACTGAAGTGTGGAAAACTAATGTGATTCGTTTGGGGTGGGAGGGGGCTGGATGGTAGATGTTGTGAACCAAGGCCCATAGAATTCATTCTGCCACATTCTTCAAGCTTCAACTGCGGTTTGGGGTGTTGAAAGGTTGAAACTCTCCCTGCTGTGAAAGCAAATGTAGAGTGCCACCCACTGCAGAGAAGGCCACCATGCAGGAGGTGGCTTTGGGTTCCTTATATGAACCTGCTTGAGTTTGGCAATGACTGAAGAAGGGAAGAATAAGGGTTCTTTGTGGCCACTGTATCCCATCTTTTCTGAAGCTGACCCTGTAGTAGAAGGTTCTAGAAGATGCCTGTCCAAGCCACTCAGAGATAGGACCACTGTGAAGAAGACTTGAGTACTTGCCATGTGGGCTTGTGCAGGATACCAAAACTTTCCTGTTATTTATTCTTAACAGCAGGATGCTTGATGATGATCTAGCAAGACTCATTGGCTGAATCTCAAAGCCAAAGCTGGTGCCCTCTAATTTAGTTGCCCATCGCCAAGTCTATACAGCCTCTTAGCCACTTCTAAATATGTATGCCACCCAGAGATTTTAAAAGCTGACTTTGGGAGCCATATCAAGAAGGTCTGTCTGCAATCGCCTCACAGTCATCATACCCCAGAAGGTAGATACTCTCCATGTCCCCATTTTAGAATTGAGAGAACTGAGGGACATAGAAGTAACAAGCCAAGTGTCAAACACAAAAATCCTAAATACCAGGCGCATACCCCCAGAGCCTCTGGACCCCAGGACCTGAGTTAGCCCTCTACTGTCATAGTTGATCTGCAATGGTGACCTCATCCTCATCTCAAAGCCATTAATTTGCCTCATTTCTGATTTTCTTGGGAATTACTCTGCCAAGAAAAATTGTTAGATGTCGCTAATACATGAATTTTCTAAAATTGTTTTTAAAGGACTCCAGATTAATTTCAACAAAATCTCCCTTGATTTTTTCCAAAGGAACCTATATTTGTGATCTAAATGTTTTCATAAAAACTTCAAATTTTCCAAATAAAACCCAAAGGATAATCCTTTACCTGAAACTATTACCATTTCTCTATTCACCTCCTTGTCAACAACCCACAGGCTGGAAAAAAAGCACATGAGCAAAAATCTCAATATAATCCCTTGAGAATATTGCAGACAACTGATGGCTTAGAAAAAGAAAAGGTCAGGCTGACACTGAAAACTCACCAGGTTAAAAAAGATCATATTAGGGATACCTGAATGTTCAGTGAGATGACTACTGAGACCAATATTTGGAGTCCTAGGTATGTTCTGGTTTGGGAATCAGCAGTGAAAATCCTTGATAGTGGCTCCATGAAGACCTAGAGTCAATAAGATGTGCCCTATCTGGGAAGAAGGTGGTTTGAATAGCAGCTGATATGTCAAAGGGTGTTTAAACTCTCCAAACTGAATTGGTTCAGTTTTCTTTTTGGATAGTAGTCTGTAAATATCATTTTTGACAAATTAGAATTAAGTAAATGTTTTTCTCCCATTTCCTCTCACTTAGGAGAGCTAAAAAGAACTCCAGAAAAACATCCCAGCAAGACCAGAAATCAATTTTAGTGATTTAATGATGTATGGAGGTCCACTGACATAAAAAATAGGAAAGAGGGTAAATAGTTAAGAAGTTTGGTCATGTGGTCATCTATTCCTTTATCCCCAGACATTTGCTGGATGACTGCTGTATGTCATCCATGACTATGTGTTTCAGTATTTGTCACTGTTGGATTTCTCACCATGGGAGAGTATAGAAGAGGCTTCAAATATGGCCTCTGGGATAGTAGGTTAAGACTACTATAAAGGACTCTTCTAGCAGACCAAAGAACAAAGGGGCTAGCAGTGCTGTAAAGGGAGATGGCATTTCTGTGAATACCTCCAGATCAAGGCTTTGATGAGTAGAGAAAAATAAAGCCAGTCCTGATGGATAATCCAAGCTGAGGGACAGTCTAGAAGTAGATCAATACACTGAGTTTGTTTGGCCAAAATGGACTAGCACAGCAGTTTCCCAAGCTACACTGAGTCTCCTTTCATTATGCCGGATGTTGCTGACTAATGGCATTCAGATTTGTACTTTAGGATCACCTGGGGAGGGGGGACATACATGCCTCAATCAGCCTTGTTTGCATGGCTACATATTCCAACAGGTGGGAAAGGGTATCTGCCTCATGTACATGGATATACATTCCAACAAGTGAAAGAAAGAGGTGGGTCTTCCATGCCAGGAACTGAGCAATGTAATGGTACTCAACACCTTGGTTTTAGTCTTGTAACCCACTACTCAGTGACTTTGGCAAGCACATAATTCCCCAAGGTTGCATTTCCTCTCAGTAAATATGACATTGCTACAGTAACCACCATGCACAAAGATCACTGAGGTAAATGTTAGCCTCTTTTTAGTCACAGTCACAGATCTCATTGAGAATATCATAATAGCTTTGGATGCTCTTGTCAAAAGACTTCACCTACCCACATATACATTCCAATTTCCTTTTAGTGGCCATTAGACTCCACACAAACGGTCCATGGGTAAAGATTAGGAATACTTCCTTTAAAATGACCAGACATGTTCACATCTCCCTAGATGTATAAGGGAGGGTAGGGCTTGGAGCCTACCCAAACCCTTCTCAATCTGTCCAGCTCTCTTCAGATTTCCTTTGGAAGTTACTTTACATGGAGAGGGGTGCAAAACCAGTTAGGATCAGGGTTTCAAACAGACGTAATATATACATAAACAGAGCAAGGTGAAAGTGGAGACCAATGCATCAAGAGGAGAATGAGAACCAGATGCCTGCCTCATTCAGGGAGGAGTAGGGAGAGACAGCTGCTGAGGGGCTTACTCTGTGGACTTACCTCTAATCAAGGCTCTCAGAAGTGGAGGAAGGAGGGACAAAGGAGAGTGGCCTTGGAAAAGACAGGGATTGGGAAGGTAGAGGTGAGGGAATGCTGAAGTCAGAAAAAGAAAGAAAGCAGCCTCCTCAGAAGCCTCACGCCAAGGCCTCAGGGAACAAAACAGAGCACGTCTGTCAATACGTATATCTGACCTGCTAGCCGAAGATCAGGTACTGAGTATCAGCTAAGTAGGAAAGCACATCCCACAGGAGTCATTTTATAAATTCCTGCTATGTGTCCACAGACATGGAACACTCATTCAAAAAAAATTTCATTTTACGAACTTCCCAGTGGTGATAATCAGCAAAGTAGTCATTGCTCCTCCTGAGTCATGGGCTTCACGGATATTAGGCTAGGCTCAAAGCCTCTACATCCTCAACTACTTCGTGTTCCT